TTGGATTAAGGTTTAATTGGGAGCTACGCCGCAAGAGGCGCTTCAATTTTATATTACTAATGACGGGCGTTATAATATATGGAACGTTGGATCCAAGTTAGAATATTTTGTGATCCTGGCTATACAGAAAGTTGCTGTCTTCAGCAAAGTTGTTCAGGTGACCACGTCCTTTCGGATGGTGGATGTATTAGTTCAGAACTCTCTCACTACGCAGCGCTATTGTGCACACGAGCTTCCTGTATAAGCTGTATCTCAACATCCTGGCCATATAGAAGGTTACTGTCTTCAGCTAAGTTGTTCAGGTGATCATGTCCTTTTGGATAGTTCAAAACTCTACCACTACGCAGCGCTAGTGTGCATGTGCAATTCATATATAAACTGTATCTCGAGAGCCTGGCCATATAGAAAGTTGCTGTCTTGAGCAAAGTTGTGCAGCTGACCAAGTTCTTTCGGATTATGGTCATATTAGTTTAGAACCCACTCACTACGTGGCACTAGCGTGCAAGTGAACTTCCTGTATAAGCTGTGTTACGTATAGGTAAGTATAGACGAGTATAGAACTCACTGTACGATCAGATCATATCAAGCCGTTAAAGATTTATCTCTCTTCTCTTTGTCGCATGGTTCGGTACATGTGTAACTGTATACCGACTTTCTAATAGGTATATAGTATTGATAGCAGTGGTTGATAGCAGTGGTTGATGGTTAGATTTGTAGTGTTTGTTCTTTACGGTCGCAATACAAGTCAGTGTCACTTAGAACAACATACTTTTAACCTCAATCCGAACGCACGCTACCTATTACGCGAGTGATCCGCGGGGACCAGTTCCGACTAATGAAGATTTCGTTTAACATTTGGTCCTTCGAACCGGATATGGTCAATCCTCGGGACCACGTTCTTAGAATAGTGTGGCGTGGCGTGAATGCATTGTGCGGTCAAACTATTGTTCGTCGGTCAGTGTACTCGGTATAAGATCAGCGAACTTTGATCTTGTTAGCGGTGCTCGGTAGTCGATGGTTTTTACTGCCAACCCGAAGGAATATTGTGACGTGTGTGATTAATACGCAGCATACGTTTAACCAAGGACTATTGATTGGATTCCTGGATGTTGTGTTTTCGTCATCATATTCACCCCCGGAGGATTATCATCTAGGAGTCAGATAAGTAGCTAGAGTGTGTGTGATTGTGTGGTTGAGGTGGCTTGGTTTGACGTGGTCTGCATGTGACGCCATCAAGATAAAGGCGCATTGTTCCGCTTGCCGTATTATATTGCGAGTTTCGACAAAATTTATTTGCATTTGTGGAGAATATATTTTGAGTTTCTCCGGTTGATGATTTAGTACATGGTACCGTTGCGATTTGCCATATGACAAATTCCCACATTTAAAGGGTGATACGGTCAAAATTTGGTCAATATCAACTTGACGTATTTCTTTCAATTTTGCATTTAAAAAACCTGAACACCCCTCATTTTGAAGGTGTGTGTGTGTAGAATGTTGCTCCTATTTTGATTTTGGAATTCACTCTTCAGTTGTCAAAATGCCGTCCAAGCAAGAAGAGCAGCGTATCAAAATTTTGCTCGCGCATCGCGAAAATCCGAGCTACTCGCACGCAAAGTTGGCAAAATCGCTAAAAGTTGCCAAATCAACCGTTACAAATGTAATTAAAGTGTTTGGGGAACGTTTGTCGACAGCCAGGAAGTCTGGATCGGGGGGAAATCGAAAACCGGAAGCCGCTGAGACGACAAAGAGAGTTGCCGGTAGTTTCAAGCGAAACCCTAACCTCTCTCTCCGAGATGCCGCAAATAAGCTGGGTGTATCGTCTACAACCGTGCATCGAGCCAAAAAACGAGCCGGACTATCGACTTACAAGAAGGTAGTGACTCCAAATCGCGATGATAAACAAAATACGACGGCCAAAGCGCGATCCCGGAGGCTGTACACGACGATGCTGACGAAGTTTGACTGCGTGGTAATGGACGACGAAACCTACGTCAAAGCCGACTACAAGCAGCTTCCGGGACAGGAGTTTTATACGGCAAAAGGAAGGGGAAAGGTAGCAGATGTTTTCAAGCACATGAAACTGTCAAAGTTCGCAAAGAAATATCTGGTTTGGCAAGCCATCTGTACCTGTGGCTTGAAAAGCAGCATTTTCATAGCTTCCGGGACTGTCAACCAAGAAATTTACGTGAAAGAGTGTTTGAATAAACGTCTGCTGCCTTTCCTGAAGAAACACGGTTGTTCCGTACTGTTTTGGCCGGATTTGGCATCTTGCCATTACGGTAAAAAGGCCATGGAGTGGTACGCCGCCAACAACGTGCAGGTGGTTCCCAAGGACAAGAACCCTCCCAACACGCCAGAGCTCCGCCCAATTGAGAAATACTGGGCTATTGTCAAGCGGAACCTAAAGAAGACCAAAAAAACTGCTAAGGGCGAGCAGCAGTTCAAGGCAAACTGGCTTTCTGCGGCGAAGAAGGTGGGCAAGGTGGCTGTACTAAATCTGATGGCAGGGGTCAAGCGTTAGGCCCGGCAATTCGGATTTGGAAAAGCGGAAGCCTAACTGAATATTTTTCCTGAATTTTATACTAATTGAACTTGAAAAAAGAAATTTAATTTGATTTTTTAAATAAACGATTTCACCGATTTACACGCGTTTTCCCTTGACCAAATTTTGACCGTATCACCCTTTATGTGGTTGATAATTGGGCTGTCAACTCTGTCAATTCGTTCTGCTTGAGGTCTTGGGAGTGATTCTGTTCTCTAGTGAAGTGTACTGTTGAAGTTTGAAGGATGCCCTCCTCCGATCTGAGGCAGTTGGTGAAGCAGGAAAAGCAGTTGAAGGCGTCGCTGGAAAACGTGCAAGAGTTTGTGGACAACTATCAAGAGGATCGCGATAAGGATGTAGTTGAGGTGCGTCTGATGAAACTGGATGAAATCTTCGACAAGTTTTGTACCGTTAGAGTAAAAATCGACGTGATTTTAGATGAGGCTGAAGATGCGGAGACTTTCAAAAGCTCTCGCGATGATGATGCTGGTACAACTAATGCTGATGCCCGTGCTGACAGCAGTCGTGCCTACAAAGATGTCGAGAATATTTACTTTCTTCTGAAATCTGCACTGCTTGTCAAGCTTCCGAGAAATCCTGGAATTGTTGCGGAACGCCAACCAGTGACTGTCAATCCACTTCAAACATCTCGTATGAAATATCCAGATCTGAAATTACCTACGTTTTCCGGCAAACTGCAGGAGTGGATTAATTTCCGGGACAACTTCAAATCTTTGATCCACAACAATGGGGATTTGAGCATGATGGACAAGTTTAACTACTTGAGCTTGAGAGCTTCTTTGCGAGATGATGCTCTGCTTCAAATTAATTAGGTTCAAGTTACCGCGGCGACCTACCATATTGCTTGGACCATTCTTGAGATGAAGTACGAGAACCACAAGCTGGTAGCCCACGAACATCTGAAGGCGCTGTTTGCTGTTCCAGCAATGAGGTCGGAATCATTTGAAATTCTGAACAACATCCTAATGACGTTCAAGGTCAATCTACAACAGCTAGAGAAGTTGGGGGAGATCACTGAAAATTGGAGTACGATCCTGGCATTCATGCTGTCGCAGAAGTTTGATACCACAACTCTCCGCCACTGGGAGACACGCCATGCATCCAAAGATATTCCTCAATATGCAGCAATGGCGGAGTTTCTTGAGCAGCACTGTGCAATTCTACATTCGACGTCTGGCCGATGCACAGTTGAGCAACGACGACCATTCAAGAGCTCTGCACTTCACACTGCTATACCATCAACAAGCAATTGCCAGATCTTCAATGGTGGACAGCACTGTATTGATCAGTGTCGCCGGTTCAGCAAAATGAGGGTAGTCGATAGGAAAATGATCATTCGCAGACTCGGTTTATGTTTGAATTGTCTGTGCTCTGGACACTTTGTGGCAGATTGTTCCAGGCGCACCTGTGCGAAGCGTGGACACTGCCACCATCATCTACTACACCCGTATGCTCCTCCCAATTCTAACACCCAGAGTCAACCTCAGAACAGCCCCAACAGGCCTCAAGCCGTGAACGCGAACCCTCAAATACAGCCTCGTTCACCGTATCAGGTGCAACAGCAATCGCAATCTCAGGGCCAATCCCGGACGAATAACACTCAATCTAATCCACAAACACCACCATTCCTAACTACTACCTCGCAATTTACACGACAGCCACCTCTCACAAACACGCCATCCACCAGTCATCACACTGCTACTTCACACAACATTCAAAGTCAGCGAAACACAGCACTCCTGTCAACCGCGATCGTGAAACTCGCTGACTGCTCCGGAAATACGATTCTCGTTCGTGCATTGTTGGATAATGGTACCGTGAAAATTTACCAGTGAACGGTGTCGGTGATTCGTCAACGGTGTGCAAACAATCGGTGTTGGCGAAGATCCTGTCTCGATATTCATCATTCGAAACCACAGTAAAGTTTTATGTCCTGCCTCGAATCACCTTGAACTTGCCGCAGCACAACATTGACATCAGTTCCTGGAAGTTGCCTGCTGATATTCGACTCGCCGATCCAAGCTTCTTCGACTCTAATGCCGTTGATGCAATGAGAGCAGAAGAGACTTTGGGAAACTGGTCCGATCTTATGCAATACTAAACTGGGTTGGATAGTGGCTGGAGAAATACCCGAGAATCCCACCTCCACCTTCAGCGTTACAGTTGCAACGTCGGGAACCACTGAAGAGATCCATGAGCAGCTTGCACGTTTTTGGGAACTAGAGACGTGCCGGACGAAGAGCTGCCTATCCATCGAAGAATCCACGTGTGAATCCATCTTCGAACAAACAACAACAAGGGATCCTGACGGAAGATTCCGTGTAACACTTCCCAAAAAAGAGTATGTGATGAAGCAGTTGGGAGATTCAAAAGCAATAGCCACCAAGCGATTCATGGCGCTCGAGAAACGCTTGAATCGAATGCGAATCCAGAGATGAAGGCTCTGTACACTGCGTTTATTCACGAGTATTTGATGATGGGTCACATGATAGAGATAAAAGACGACGAAGATGAGCCGAGGCATACCTTTTACACGCCCCATCACGCAGTTATGAAACCCGATAGCACTACGACGAAGCTTAGGGTAGTGTTTGACGCGTCGTGTGCCACAGATTCAGGAGTTTCATTGAACGATGCGTTGATGGTGGGTCTGGTGGTACAAAGGAAATTGCTAAGTATTCTGATCTACTTCCGACTCCACAAGTACGCGATCGTTGGCGATGTTGAAAAAATGTACAGCATGATCAACGTCATCCTACAAGATCAACCACTTCTGAGGATTCTCTGGCGAGAGTCCGTTGATGAGCCGCTGCGTACGTACCAATTGACTACGGTAACCTACGGCACGTCGTCTGCGCCATACCTAGCGACCAGATGCTTGAAGAAGTGTGCTGAAGAAGGAGAGAATACTCATCCAGATACAGCTAATGTCATCAATAACAACTTCTACGTTGACGATATGCTGACTGGAGCACATTCTGTAAAGGAAGGCCAACAACTGTGCACTGACGTTCTATCTCTTCTCTGTTCCGCCGGGTTTAATCTCCGAAAGTTGCATTCGAACCAACCGGCAATACTTGATTTTGATTCGACTTCCACCGTGAAGACCCTTGGTCTGACCTGGGAACCAGCATCGGATTTATTTTGGTTCAAAATGCCATACTGGAATCCATCAGTCCCAATTACGAAAATGTTCCTCCAGGAACTTTGGAGAGAAAAATATTGTTGGGATGAACCGTTGAGCGCGGACTTACAATCACGATGGCTGGAGTTCAGGAGCAATCTGGGTCGACTTGATTCAGTTTCCGTACCCCGCTGGATTGCATTTGACAAAAATGTGGTCTCATGCGAACTTCATGGATTCTGTGACGCCTCAGAAAAGGCGTACGGTGCAGTGATCTACCTACGATGTGTCACACAAGAGGGAAAGGTTACGGTTCGATTGGTGATGGCCAAATCTAAAGTGGCGCCATTGCAAGATTTAGGCAAGCGGAAGAAAAAACAATCGATACCCAGACTAGAATTATCATCAGCCTTACTATTGGCGCACTTGTACGAAACAGTTTCTGAGAGCCTTCGGATTGCAGCGAGCATTTACTTCTGGACTGATTCGACCATCGTAAAATGTTGGCTGTCGTCGCATCCGTCTAGATGACAAGCCTTTGTAGCCAACAGAGTGTCGCACATCACGCGAGAAGGCGTTTGGAACCATGTGCCTGGCTGTGAAAACCCGGCTGACATTATCTCTCGAGGTGTGACACCGTTACAACTTGCAGAAAGCTCGGTTTGGTGGAATGGTCCCAAGTGTCTGCAAAAGGAATCGAATGCGTGGCCACGTGTCAACGAAGCTTCCGGCCAGCACTTGGATTCTGTAACATTGGAGGAAAGACCGTTAGTTACGGCTGCGTTGCAAATGCTACCTCCTAGTGAAATATTTACCATGCACTCCTCGCTACTTAAGCTGATTCGTTTGACGGCATGGATGCTACGCTTCGCTTACAACTGCAAACCAAACAACCGAACCTTTAGGAGAACTGGAGTACTCAGCGCTACGGAACACGAAGGAGCATTGATCGCTTTAGTGAAACTGGCACCATCTGAATGTTTTCCAATTGAGCTTTCGGATCTAGCAGCGAAGGGTGAAGTGAAGCCAGGGTCCAGATTGCATACGAAGGATCCTGAGTTGAGAGATGGATTGATTCATGTTGGCGGTAGACTTCGCCATGCTCCAGTGTCGTTTGGAAGAAAACATCCTATGGTGTTAGACAGCAGTCATCCATTAACAAAACTTATCATGGTTGACTATCATCACAGACTCCTCCACGGAGGACCGCAACTGATGCTCTCATGAATGAAGGAAAGATTTTGGCCGCTCTATGGAAGAAACCTGGCAAGGAGAATAATCCACGAATGCGTATTCTGCTTCAAAGCACGGCCACGAGTTCATGAACAGCTGATGGGGGATTTGCCTATGGAGCGAGTTTCACCGGCTCCTGCATTTTCGCGCATTGGACTCGATGATTGCGGTCCGTTCAATGTTTGTTACGCTTCACGTAAAGGAGCTCCGGTGAAGTGTTATTTATGCGTGTTCGTCTGCTTAGTGGTTAAAGCCGTTCACATAGAAATGGTAGCAGATCTTACGACAGAAGCTTTCATAGCTGCCCTGAAGAGATTCGTTGCCAGACGAGGGAAGCCCGAAGTGATTTTCTGTGACAACGCTACGAATTTTGTAGGAGCTCGACGAGAGTTAAGCGAGCTTCACCGACTCTTTCAAGAGGAGCAATTCAAGAACGCAATTGTGACAGAAGCAGCCAAGGAAGCAATAGAAATCAAGTTTATTCCTGCCAAATCACCGAACTTTGGCGGATTATGGGAAGCGGCCGTGAAGTCTATCAAGGGACACATGAGACGAGTAATTGGAACGAATGTGCTCCGTCCAGATGAGATGCTGACTATTGTCACCAGTCTTGTAAGCGGTCACGGTAGTCGACACATTTTCTGTGATAATCGACTGCCTTTGCCTCCGACACTTGCAAAACAAGCTATCATAGTACACTACCAAACTCAAATGTCATATGACAGGCTCTGTCATACGACACTTTCGCCGAAGACGGTCACGAATGTATGTATTTTAGTTTTTCTCATAATAAGAGCTGCTGATGTTGTGCTTGAGTGAATTCTGAAAATAGCAAGCAATGATGGCCTAGGAATAAAATTTCTGATCAGAAATGGTTTAATTTACACCAAACTGAGGAATTAGAACGAAATCACTCATGTCATATGATAGTTATTTGATAATTTTCTTTTTGCTCGAATGTTATTCTACCGGTTGTGTTGTGTGAGAAAGACGACGGTAGAGCATGAGAGTACGAATAAAAACAGACTGTCGCGCATGACAACGAAGCGAGTGTCGTAAAAAACGTCAACAGTTTCAACCCCTGATTGTCACACAGATTGAAGCCTGTCTTAACTCTACCCGAGCAGGAACCGATAGCTAATCGATAACAAATGAATATCTTCATGTGGTATGATACCAGTATTTGGTATGCTTGTGGTATAAAACCTTGTTTTGATATTATTCAGTTATCGAAATATTTTGTACAATACCAAATAAATACCAAAATAACAAAATGCGATCTTTCAGTTTGTAGACAATAACACCTAAAAGTGTTATTGAATTGGTATTAGAAAACCTTCGAAATAACAAACTATGGTATTCTGGCATCTAAAAAAGTGTCTGTTATCCGTTTGTTATTGTAATAACTAAATTATTTATAAGTTCGTTATTCGTAGAACATTTTTTAGGTATTATTTTTGGTATTTTACCTCTTATGTCAGCCTCGTCAATACCATATTTAGGTTGCCAGTTATGCTATTTTCATACCTGAATTTGGTATCAATAAGGTATTTTCTCCTGCTCGGGTAGGCCGATCACCCCGTTAAGCAACGACCATCGAGATCTAGAAGCGCTAACTCCTGGGCACTTTTTGGTACAACGTCCGCTTACAGCAATTCCGGAGCCCAGTCTCGTGGAAGTTCAGGAGAACAGATTGAGCAGATGGCAACGAGTGCAGCAGTTCAGCCAAACGATCTGGAAGCGTTGGTCGACTGATTATTTGTCAGATCTTCACAACCGAAATAAGTGGACACGAAGAAGGAATAATCTCCATATCGGAACGATGGTATTAGTGAAGGAAGACAATCTTCCTCCGCTGAAGTGGCAGTTAGGACGAATCACGGAAATTCACCCCAGGACGGATGGCAACGTTAGGGTTGTCACCATTCGCACGCAGTACGGAACGTTTCGTCGAGGAATCCAGAAGATATGCATCCTCCCAATTCGGGACAATCAGCCGCAGGATGAAGAAACCCAATAAGGCATCTAGCATCAGTTAATCGTTACCCGTGAAGTAGAATTAAGTATTTAAGCCTCCACTTGGGGCACTTTAGGCAACTGACGGCACAAATCTTGCCGTGGATGCCTGGGGGAAACACTCAAGTTACGTTCAACCCACCTGTGTTTTTCGTTTGAACCTACTGCTTTGTTTTTTTTTGTCAGAGATGTGGACACCCAACGTCCGCTAGCCATTCGTGCTCTCTAGCCCAATGAAGGATATTCATCAATCACTAGATGTCATCGCAGCTAAGGCTAGTTCCATCTCGATATCGCTTCTACCGTTCATCGCATCGTGTCATCAGCAGTAAGTCACTGCCCAGCAGATGAGTGTTCAATGCCCCCAAGGGGCAAACTTTGGCAACTTATGGATATTCCGTCCGTTTTAACGCCAGGGGGCGAACCATGAGTTACGTGTCTCCTCTGTAAACCCATGTATTGGATTACAGCCATGTTTATCTTCGACAGGAATCGAAACTTCGAGAACCTACGTTGCAGTATCCAGTGTCGGACAGCTCGTGCGTGATAAAATCTTGCGCATTCATCACGAGAACAAGGATCTCTCGCATCGTTCCATCGCTAAACCGTTGGGAATCGCGAATTCCACGGTGTCGCGAGTGATTAAGCGGTTCGAGGAACGGTTGACCACCGATCGGAAGCCCAGAAGTGAAGGAAAAAGTATTCCGTACAACACCAAAAATCACAACCGCGTAGTTGGGGCCTTCAACCGAAATCCGAACGCCTCCGTTAGGGATGTGGCTAAGAAGCTGCACCTAAGCCGAAGTTTTGTCCAGAAGGCCAAAACTAAGGCTGGGCTTCGAACGTTCAAGGTACAAAAGGCCCCTAATCGCGACGAGAAGCAGAACAAGTCCGCCAAAACCCGTGCCAGGAAGTTGTACCTCAACATGCTGACGAAAGTTGAATGCTGCATCATGGACGACGAAACATATGTGAAGGCCGACTTCAAACAGATCCCCGGCAACCTGTTTTTCACGGCCAAGGATAAGTTCAGCGTTCCGGAGCATGTCCGCACTCAGAAGGCAAGTTTTGGCAAGCCATCTGCACGTGCGGGAAGCGGAGTGCACCTTTCGTGACCCAGGACACGATGAACGGACAGGTGTACATAAAAGAGTGCCTCCAGAAGCGGCTGCTTCCTCTCCTGAAGGCCCACAACGTCCCAACAATCTTCTGGCCGGATTTGGCCTCATGCCACTACTCCAAGGACGTGCTGAAATGGTATGCGGACAATAAGGTCAATTTCGTGCCGAAATGTTCAACCCTCCCAACACTCCGGAGCTCCGCCCCATCGAGAAGTACTGGGCGATTATGAAGCAGCACCTTCTTAAACGACCTAAGGTAGTGAAGACAGTCGAGGAACTGAAGAAAGTATGGGTTTACATGCAAAAAACGGTTGATTCACAGGTTGTGCAGAATTTTATGGCCGGGGTTAAGGCCAAGGTGCGGGCATTTGCGTATGGACTGTAAATAAAATACGAGTAAAATGGTAAAATGAAGTTTAATAGTTATTTCTCAATCCCTGAAAATTTGACGGCAATCGGATGAAAACTCGAATTTTGCGAATCAATTTTGTGTGTGGCAATTTCATCGTGGACACCCTTTAGGTATATAGTATTGATAGCAGTGGTTGATAGGGATAGTAGTGGTGGATCTTCGGTAGGAGAGTACTGTCGCATGTACAGCAGATCAGATCAGATAGTCAGTGATCTCCAGCATCTTGGTTGTGTCGGTCGTCGTCCGAAGAATATACAGTCCATTCGATTTAATTAGATTTGTAATGTTTGTTCTTTACGGTCGCAATAAAAGTCAGTGTCACTTAGAACAACATACTTTTAACCTCAATCCGAATGCACGCTACCTATTACGCGAGTGATCCGCGGGGACCAGTTCCGACTAATGAAGATTTCGTTTAACAAGCTGTATCTCGTTGTTCAGTTGACTAAGTCCTTTCAGATGATGGTCATATTATTTCAGAACTCTCCCACTACGCGGCGCTAGTGTGCACATGAACTTCCTTAATATGTTATGTCTCGAAAGCTTGTCCATATAAGATGTTGCTGTGCAATGTGAGAACAAGAACCAAAAAAGGGATGACGTGCAGAGGCCGGAAATCGATGTCAGACGCCATTTTGGAATCCAAGATGGCAGCTATCGGTTCAAGAAAACTGTCAAATATCCTACAATATGGATATTTTTGGGAAGGGGACGACGTGTAGAGGCCGGAAATCGAAGCCAGACACCAATTTCAAACCCAAGATGGCGGCCGTCGGTTCAATAAAAACTGTCAAATACCCAACAATATGGGTATTTTCGGATAGGGGATGACGTGTAGAGATCGACCGGAAATCGATGTCAGACGCCATTTTGAAATCCAAAATGGCGACCATCGGGGCAAGAAAAACTGTAAAATACGCTACAATATGGGTATTTTCGGATAGGGGATGACGTGTAGAGACCGGAAATCAATGTCAGACGCCATTTTGGAATCCAAGATGGTGTCCATCGGTTCAAGAAAAACTGTAAAATACTCTACAGTATGAGTATTTCAGAAAATGAAACGACGTGTAGAGGCTGGAAATCGATGCCAGATTCCATTTTGTAATCCAAGATGGCGGCCGTTGGTTCAATACAAACTGTTAAATAATCTACAATTCCCGGTCTAGAAGGTGAAATTTTGATAAATCATATTATATCAATATTTAATCGATGACAGAATAAGACGTCTTCAGGCTCTAAAAATTGGCCCTGAGCCCAGGGAACAGTAGGGACTTTAAAAAAGATTAGTAACAGCGAACTTGACAAGCTTGACAAAATACCGATGAATAAAAAAAAACCCAAAAGTTCTGGAGGGGGGCTAGATAATTCGGGAGGGGGCCTGGCCCCTTTGGCACTCCTATTAACTACGCCAATGCTCACACTTCGCGCTTTAAATTAAGATAGCTTCCCCGAGCAAAGTCGGTTAACAAAATGAAAGCAAATCGATATTAAAGTTTGTAGTTCTTATTATAATGAAAACTCATTTTGATTTCAATTGTCGTGGCAGAAGTCTGATATCATATCGTTCTTTCAATATGCAATCAAGACTTTTTAAACCAAAGCAACTTATCTTGAAGTTCTGCTGTTAATTTCTTGTTTAAAATTTGATTTAACTTCATCTCTCTAACGAATTCTGTTTATTTGTTTTGTTTAACACATTTTAGGTCGTGTCTAGCGCGAGGTGGGATTTGAGCCAGGCCCGTATTCAATCAAATATTATGAATGCAAAATCAGTAATCCAATTGATCACATTGAAAGCAGAATTAGTTTTCCATTCGATTCAACAGAACAGTGAAAAATTTTGCTTTCCTTTTTGCTATGTCAACCAAAATGAGATCAAATGGAGTTTCGAAATAATTTACATGATAACAGCAAATTCTGATTTCAATTTGATCTCTAACTTTGCTCGGGTCACCAAAATTATAACCCCAGAGTCTGCCAAGAACATCAGACATTACCTACATACCTACATACGGCATCATACTCGATTGTACCAAACAGTCTATCCATAAAACCGCGGTGCCACTCTGTCGACCAAAAGGTGATGAATAAAGTAGAAAATATTTCGCACCCTGCCAAATGTAAACAAAAACAATCCATCAAGACGACGTTCAACGATGGCTGGTTGTTGCTTCATATCTCGTCCTGGGCTGCTATCGGGCTATCGACTATTTCAGTCAGCGCGGGACTTCTGTACCTACCTCGATTTTCGACTGACGTTGACTGACCGTTTCCTATCGAAGGCCAACCTCTGCGCTGCGCTGCGTTGCTGCTCCGACGCGGTCTTATAACAATGGGTGCTATTTTTATTTGCAAATACCTACCCGTCACGACTATTTTATCAGTACGAGGCAAAGTAAAATACTGTGTGTGTATATTGATCCTCTGTCATAACAATATTGATGTACGGTGTGGTTGGTTGTTATGATTTTTCAGCAGCTTTGGAGTTATTTGATTTGCATTTGTTTGCCAAGAAACAAGTTCGCTGAACTATTGCACACACGGGATTGGAAAAGCAAACATTCGTTCTATGCTACGGTTGATAAGACAAACTACGCTTCATATAATCTAGATACCTACCTAAATCTACCTATCGTCAAAAAGGAACGTTCTTTCAACTGAAAGCTCTGCTCGGAGATATTGTTGATTTCTTTTATTACAAGATCTTATGCAATAACTTTCGGTTTTAGAATCTTTGCAATCACTCCCTGTCATCAATTCTAAACGGCTAGCAATCACAATCACTTCCTAGATCTACGATTCAAACAAACCATTGAAAATGTTCCAAACAACTAGATATTCTTCGAAACGATGCTAAACAATTGGTTTAAATACCTAGCAGAGTAAAACTGTGTTAAGTAAAATTACTTGGGGTTCAGAGTACAGTAGCTGATTGTTACGACTAAAAAAAATGGAAAACGTTCACTAGATTTGTTCCTCCTTTCAGTTAGTTATTCCGTAGTTATGCGTTTCGTTTGCATCGATCCTGCAATAGGGTGTAGGATGAAAAAGGAGGGGTATGTAAAATAGCAGGTCCTCCTCCTGCAGCTGACAGGGATCGGTTTGAGGAAAAAACACAAACTAGAATAACAACCATTACGCCGCAGAACTACAGAATCTGGAACGTTTTCTTCAACTCCACCATCAGGGCCCAGTCCGATTTTAATAGGTCATCTCGGAAGTAGTCTTTGCAGGCATCAATACTTTGACGGGATATCTGAAAATACACAAGGGGGAATAATCCATTAATAAACAACAGTTGTAAACAGGTCCAGGAAGTCCATTCAAAAGTTGTCGGCTTGATAAAATTTTCATTCATGCCCAGCTGGCACTTGAATGACCTACATTTTCATTGATTTTCTTTCGTTCAAAGAAAAATGGAAACGCACCAACACAACCAGCAGCAGCAGCATTTGGGATATGCGCAGTTCATTGTGCTTTCGTTCAGTAGGTTCGGGAAATATCCAGGGGATCGTTCCGCTTTGAATTGAGAAGGGAGGGAAAATAGGTCAACGCTGTTCGTGCAAAAGGAAGCACCACCAGAGCAATGACGTCATTGGTAACAACTCCCATGTTTTTGGGGTGGATTTGGCTCCATAACGAAAGGGCGACGGCTCCGTCGTAATCAAAATAAGATTTAAAATGGAATACCCGGAACAATGCTTCATTTATAAATATTTTCCATTCCGTTTTCCGGGATAACGAATGGAAATTTTGTTTATTTGACGGAAACGTAATTTTCTCTACAATAGCGTTTCGATTTATTGCGACTGATTTGACGGACATAAATTTTGCTGTGAATTCAGTTTAGCTTTACCTTGAGCATTGTTTTTCTGATACCTTTTTGGCATTTCGGAAGGAAATTTCTCAGAAATTACTTTAAAATGCTTTGCATACAACCGCAAATTATATTTGATTTCTTGAAAATTATCGAAATTGTGTTCATTTAGCAAGTTTTAAAGAAATATGATTCAATGGCTTGATGATATGTTACACACAGTAACAGCAAAGAACAATGCTAAGATAAAACAGACGGAAAAAACTTTCTATTTTAGTGTCCTCTTTCACGGTCCCTTTCCTCCATTGATTAACCCCCGTATGCAAGGTGTTTTTGTGCTTATGCTACCCCCTCAGAAGTGTTGAAATTTTGCGCTTTTTTATCAAAACAATCACACCAAAAATTAAAGATGTCCCATTTTTTAATAACTCGATTTATAACTAACCGATTATTTTTTGATGGCTGTGCTGTCATTTTTCCACCTTTGTATGAGCATGCAGAACATGTTCAACACCATGGATGATGACCCTCTTGAGATGTTAATGCTTACTTGACATGATATAACCGATTAAACATAATTTATTTTTCGGATCGTTAATCGAATAATCGATTATTCGAATAAAAAACGTCATTTTGACATCCACCGTCAATGTGAAATATGAGGGCCATTCATAAATATATCAAGAAGACTGCCAACTCTGTCAGCATTTAAGTGACAAATACAATAGCGCTGCACTTAAGTAAAGGTGCCACCACTGGATAGAAAAATTAGCGAAAATCCAAACCTCGCTTTTAATCAAAATGTCATGCAAATGTTAAGGAGAAAAATGTCATGACATAAGCTTCGCCAATACAATTTAGTGGTACAAAAATGTACATTTACCACCGAAACTTTAATATCTTAGCGATATATGGTGATATTTATTCTGTCGTTTGGCATTTGCCTAAGAAATCTCCCGCAACACGAGAAAAGGGCCTATCATTGTTGATCGATTTTCTTCATCGATTTTTACTTTCGTGGATAACCCGACTGCAAATGGATTTCCCATTCAGTGCGTTGTTTCAGGCGCAAGCTAACATCATCTTCTGTCGAACTGTTCTGCGAGCTCTGCGAGAAATTTGTTTATGTTGCCGTGGTAAACCAAAGAGAAAGTCGATGAAGAGAATCGATCAACGAGGATAGGCCCTTTTCAAATGTTACGCGAGAAATATCCAGTCTCCTTCATATTTTGTCTTTTTGTAATGATTAGATACAAGATTTGGTCAAGGCACTGTCTTTTCATGTATTCAACTTGATCAACTTGATCAACTTGATCCTCTATTTTATTTTTGGATGTTGCCAAACGCCAAGTGACCGAGAAAAAATACAAAAGTGAAATCGACATCTTCCGATTTTGACCAAACTTGGAGCAGACACTTTTTTTCAGAACAACGTTGAAAAATTCAACTTTCGGCCGATCGGAGCACTCCTTGGTTCATGAGAGCATTTTATTTTTCTCGTGATTTTAGAAAGTTCCTGAGATATTGCATCAAAGAAAGTCAAAACATATGAGATTATTTGTTTTTTTTTTTCAATTTTCTGGTATTGTCCCTTCTTCTAAATAATTGACATTTTTATTTTACATGAAACATAGTGTTAGAAACTGTCTGAAGGATTGTATCTCAAGTAACAATTTCGCAGCCTTTGGCTTTCACACTAATTAAAAGTGGTTTTGTAACGGCAATAAACAATCTTTTAGTTTAAATACAGCATAAAATAGTGCAACACATTCTTGGTTAGTAGTTCAGCATTTTGCTGTTTCAAAAACCTTTCAAAGTCTGAATATAAAGTCAAAACGGGTCTGGTTAAAAAAAAAACAAATTAATGCAGCACTCTATCCCTGTATAAAAATGTTCAGTTAGTCAATCATAAACGTGCTCGGAATTCTTTTTTTGATGTCACGACAAAATGCTCCATAAAGGTGTTTTATCATTATAAAAGCATTTATAAAACCGTTCGGTTTTAAACAGGAAAAAAAAAGCATATATCGCTGACACCAAAAAGTCAATAAAGTAAAGGGTGTCCACGATGAAATTGCCACACACAAAATTGATTCGCAAAATTCGAGTTTTCATCCGATTGCCATCAAATTTTCAGGGATTGAGAAATAACTATTAAACTTCATTTTACCATTTTACTCGTATTTTATTTACAGTCCATACGCAAATGCCCGCACCTTGGCCTTAACCCCGGCCATAAGATTCTGCACAACCTGTGAATCAACCGTTTTTTGCATGTAAACCCATACTTTCTTCAGTTCCTCGACTGTCTTCCCTACCTTAGGTCGTTTAAGAAGGTGCTGCTTCATAATCGCCCAGTACTTCTCGATGGGGCGGAGCTCCGGAGTGTTGGGAGGGTTGAACATTTTCGGCACGAAATTGACCTTATTGTCCGCATACCACTTCAGCACGTCCTTGGAGTAGTGGCATGAGGCCAAATCCGGCCAGAAGATTGTTGGGACGTTGTGGGCCTTCAGGAGAGGAAGCAGCCGCTTCTGGAGGCACTCTTTTATGTACACCTGTCCGTTCATCGTGTCCTGGGTCACGAAAGGTGCACTCCGCTTCCCGCACGTGCAGATGGCTTGCCAAACCAGGAATTTCTTCGCAAATTTGGACATCTTCTGAGTGCGGACATGCTCCGGAACGCTGAACTTATCCTTGGCCGTGAAAAACAGGTTGCCGGGGATCTGTTTGAAGTCGTCCTTCACATATGTTTCGTCGTCCATGATGCAGCATTCAACTTTCGTCAGCATGTTGAGGTACAACTTCCTGGCACGGGTTTTGGCGGACTTGTTCTGCTTCTCGTCGCGATTAGGGGCCTTTTGTACCTTGAACGTTCGAAGCCCAGCCTTAGTTTTGGCCTTCTGGAAAAAACTTCGGCTTAGGTGCAGCTTCTTAGCCACATCCCTAACGGAGGCGTTCGGATTTCGGTTGAAGGCCCCAAGTACGCGGTTGTGATTTTTGGTGTTGTACGGAATATTTTTTCCTTCACTTCTGGGCTTCCGATCGGTGGTCAACCGTTCCTCGAACCGCTTAATCACTCGCGACACCGTGGAATTCGCGATTCCCAACGTTTTAGCGATGGAACGATGCGAGAGATCCTTGTTCTCGTGATGAATGCGCAAGATTTTATCACGCACGAGCTGTTCTTTCGACTCCATTTCCGCGAGTTTTGATCACAGGACTTTAAAACTTGCAGGATGTAAATAATGCACTATGAACTAAATCCACCCAAATTTTCATTAAATTCTACCCAACGGTTAAAAAGTTAGATCAATTTCATAGTGTGGCAATTTCATCGTGGACACACTTTATATCACAAAATTCCCTACTGTTTACAAATTAAACTTAATTATGTATCCGCCAAGACACAGAGAAAAATAATCGAGTAGGGCTTTAAAACACAGAAACACAAGGAAAAGCCGAAGGATAGTCGAGCAACAATACTAGCGATAGGAAGAGGAATGATTCCAGCGATGCTGTCAACGGAAGGAAAAAGGAATACAATTCCAGAACTTCCTGGGAGACCCAACCCAACAACAACAGGGCAGCCGACTGAGGAGAGTGAAGTGAATGCGGTTCACGAAGTACTGAAAAACCATCAAATTAGACGCTTAAAATTGATGGAAATACCCAACATATTGGCAATGGCGTTTGCGTCACGTTCTGAATAAAAACAGGCCAGCTTTCTCCAGAAATTGCGTTTTGATGATGATCCGAGTAACATATGCCAAACTGGGACTGCGAAAAATTGCCAACAGGAAATTTCAGAAACTGTCAGCAGGCTTGCTGAAACTCCTCAAACTCACTGGAGGTATTAAAACACTCTTGTCCTGCGAGTTTAGCCAGCACCCACCTCGAGTGAGTGGCGGCAGGAATTAGGTTCTGCAGCGTGACGTCACGAATGAACTCAGTTTTAGTCGTCTGAACCTTTTTCACAGTTCAGTGGTACTGTTTACAAGCAGCGCGGTGAAATGATGTTGCTCGTGGACGATGCAGAAGTGTGGTTTACATCTCACTGCAGTCTTAAAAATTATCCAAAAACTCTACCCAAGAAAAAACGTAAACGTAAACAGTACCACTAAACTGTCATCAGATTGAGGTTAACCCCGACGGTGCAATAATATGGAAGAAGTAAACAAAAACTCTTCGAGATAGAGAGGGAGAGTGAACTTCAGCGAGAGGATGATTTGACGTAAAGGTGCGCTTTTCGAGACCCCGGATGACTTTTTTGTTCGACGCAAGAAGCTCAGAGTTCACCCAGAGTGAGATTAAGAGCGTGTGACAGAAAACTTGAACATGAATGGCAGCAAACCTTACTATCATTTTATACCCCTTCGCTCACAAGGTCTGAAGCTCAGTGGAATTATTTGGCAGTAGGCATTCTACTCATCAGAAAA